CATTTCTATTGTAAACTACCAATCAATAGACAAATAAAATTTCGACATATGCACACAACTTGCTGTTTTCAGCGCGTGAGAGATCATCGGAGAGCTGAGACATGTCAAGTTGAAGAAGTAATGATATCATAGATATAACCTGATTTAGAACGGGAATCAATAGTTCGACATTGTTACAAAACTTTGAGCTATCTTTGAGTATTCATTTGTGACCTTATCAAATAGCTGCACTTGTATAGAGCATAATACGGCGAATATACTAGTACATGATTTCATATGCTAATAGATATTAAACATTCTAACAATTTACATTGAATATTTCTATCAAGTTTTTGTTTGTACATCAGGATCTAAAAGGAGTGTTGACATATAGGAATAGAAACTTGAACTCTTCCCACAGAGTTAACAGACATTATTGATATACAAGCGCAGATCTTATACCAATAACGTGTCCGTATAGTATACGAACTACTTTCTTGTTACATTTCTTGAGGATTAAGTAAAAGGATCGTGAATAAATGTGTCTCAAAATAGATAGACTAAAACAATCTCTCTTTGATTAACAACAAAAATTACATCGTGTATCATGTTATAATCCCGCAGAGATTGCACTAACACTTTTGTTTTATGACTTATACAATAAAACTAAAATAATAAATACTGAACAAATAATATTCTATTGAACGCAACTTGTTTGTTTGATTTGTGTTTATTATGTAGAGTGATCTGGATTTTATCAACTTTTTGGTAATAATTTTCAACAAGAGCTGATAATATGTCATCAATATTTTTTTGTCTGTTTTACTATGCTCTTGACACGTTAGTAATTTTAAATACAAAACAAAAAAATATAAGATCTTAAAAGATTTTTTTATTTTTCAAAAGAGATTCCATTAATTGATACAATGGCGCGTTTGAAATTCATTGTTTAAATCGAATAAACAAATTTCTTTTTTTTTTAATTTTTCTTTTCATTTTCAATTCTTCTAAATGACTACATTAACTGACTCAAATATATCAATTCGTGATCGTATTGATTATATATCAAATCGTTTAATTCTAATGTCATTAAATATTCATATAGAATTAAATGATGGTCGTTTTTCTTTCTCACGTTTAAATGAAATTCGAAAACATTCTGATATTAGTCTAGTATCATCATCATTTTCTAATACATTAATTGATGAATTACTTGCATGTATAGAATATTATTGTCATCAAGTTAATGAATTAACAGATTTATTACATTTAATCATTAAATCATTATTATCGAATACTAATTTTAATCAAATTATTGATGATCTATCTAAAGGTTCTCAATTATGTTTAGATGTTATAAAAAATTATCATTTAGAACGAATTCAAGCTGTTCAATCCATGTTATCAAGTCCATTTCGTGAAGATGCTTGGTATTTAGTACATGAAATTGATTCAAATATATTTGGTAAATGTCGAATAATTTTAATACGTTTACGAATGTATTTTCTTCTGATGCATCAAATACTTACAAATGATATTAATCTTCAAATAAAACCTAAAATTCAAAGTTCAAGTTTACATTCATTAATAAATAATAATAATAAAAAACGATACGAATCAAATTTATCAATATCAAATAATTTTAAACGTAGAAAAATTCTTGATTTCAAAGTGTAATTTTTATTTATGATAGAAAAAAATAGTTGAATTACGAATGAATAATAGATGAGACAAGAACAAAAAAGGAAACACAAAAAAAGAAAGTAAATTATGGACATAAAAACGAAAAAGAAAAAAGAAAAAGAAAAGCGAAAATTAAAAATTAGACAATCATACCATACAAGATTCACACGATCCAAAAACGCATCAGCAACCGTCGATTTTTTTCTTGCTAAGTTTGCGAAATAATATGTAGAAAAAAAAACGGAAAAGAAGAAGCAGTAGCAATAGCAATAGCTAATGAATGATTTTTCTCTCATGTCATTGTATAAGCAAAAATCAATAGATAAATAATAAACTATTCTAACGTCAGTTGCTTCTTAATTCAGGTCTTTGGCTATACCTTATTAATCTTCTGATCGGAATGAATAGAGTTTTCCTGAGAGAGAGAAAAAAAAAACAGAAGACGTCGACATTTGATAATTCATGTTCGAACAAATAAAGATAAAAACACACGCATTCACAAACACACACACACGGAAGAATCATTCAATTGATGTTCATTCACATAGAACAATCTGACATCCACCACTTACATATATATGTTATTTATTGATAACGAGTTGAAAATCGCGTTGGTGGTTGTGGACGGCCATTATCCGACAGTGGTGAATCATGACCACCAGCTGAATCATTATCATCTTCTTCATCACTATATTGCCTATTGAAAGAAAACAAAAATCTAAAACGAAACTAAATTTAATGTAGTTTACCCCTGAATATTTCCAATTTTTTTCTTTGCAGCACTTTTTTGTTTAACTTGTTTAACGGATGTTCGATTACGTTGAACAACCTGTGCTTGTGAATTTAAACGACTTTGTTGTAAAACAACATTTTGTGTTGAACCAAAACCTGAATTTGGACTTATTGAACCTGGTGTTGCATAATCGGCTAATATACCTGATGATGATAATGATTGTGATGGACGAATTGGTGTTGTCATAACAAGATCATTCAATGATGTTGAACCCCAATTACGATTACGTTCATTGTTATTATTTAAATTTTCATTATCACTGTATGCACGATTTGTATCATCATGTCGTTTATCATTATTTGATATCATTGGTGGAGATACAAGATGACGTAAATTTGAATTTGTTGTTGTACTGTCATGATTTGATGTATGTGGAAAGCCCATTGATGTATAACACATGGAATATTCATTTGCATTTTGTGATAAGTTTTGACGACGATTTGGTGTTGATTTTGAAAAATCATATGGTGTTGCCGAATTCTTATTATCATGAATATAATTGTCATTTGTACGAACATCAAGATTATTATAAAGTGCATCAATTTGATTAATAGTATCGTTAAAACCAGCTCTATTATTATTTGGATTTACATTTGTCGATTGTCGATAATAACGATGAACAATTTGATTAACTTTATCAAAACTATCATTATTTAATTGTTGATAATTATTCTGTTGTCTTGTACGATAATGTGATGGAAGTTTGGATGTAACTTGTTCATTATTTTTATAACGTCTTGTGTGTGTTGATGGTGTATTTGATGATTGAGAATTTTGATTTATATTCATACCTGTAGCACCACTTGATTGTTCATCACTTGAATAATTTGTATTAAGACCTTGTGAACGTAATTCATCAGCACTAAAATATCCTGATGAACGATTTAATGAACGATCCGATGAATGAAAATCACTATTAATAACAACTGTATTTCCTGGTCGTGCAGCTACATTTTGAATTGAAACTCGACCATCTTTTGATGTTGTTACAATGGCTCGTGATGATTGATCAAGTGCAACAACAGTTGGTTGTTCAGGTAATTGTGGTGGACGTTTTTCAATTTCAATTTCAAATTCTATATTTGAACCGAGCAGATTACCAAGACTACCTGTACGACGTTTTATTTGTTGACGATATGCTGATTTAGAATAAGGAGAAGAAGAATATTGATCTTGTTCTTGTTGCTGTTGTCGATCTTGTTCGTGTAAAACTGAATGATATGATGATGAACGTGCATGAGGACCTAATGAAGACGAATATTCATTTGTACTATCGTATGGACCTAAGAATAAAAAGAAAAAGAAGTTTGTCGTTTTAAGAACAACAAGAAAAAAAAGAATAATTCTTATTAAGATTGAGAGAAAGAAAAAAGAAAGTTCATTAGTATACGCATAAGCTTAAGAGAATAAACAGATGTTTTTATTTTGCTTGCACCCAATAAGAGTGTAGCACAAGAAAATAAAACACGAACCTGTACTTGCTACTAAGAATAAAATGAATTTTAAATACGAAAATAAATTATATAGAAAACAAATAATTCTAGAATATTTTTGTTTGTTTGTGTGTTTGTTTTTTTTTCTATGTAAGCATACTTATTCGTGATCGACTTTGTCTTTGTTGATAATCTTGATTTATTGTTGATGGACGATAACTTGTTGAATCAATACGTTCATAATGTAATTTAGAACGTTGTTGTTCTTCTTCACGTTTTATTCGTGCATTAAGTTCAGGTTCACTTATACCATGTTTTATTGTTGTAGGACTTGATTTCATGCCAACACCATTAGATAATTCAGGTACACGAACAATAGCAATGATTTCATTTGGTGTATATTTACCAAATGTAACTTGACTTTGTGGACTTAATGATGTTATTTCCATAGTACGTGGTGGACCAGAACTTAATGTACGAATATTTGAACGTGATGATGAACCTTGTAGTAAACTATCTTGTGAACGATCACGTTGTATTGGTTTAAACCATGTTTCTTCAATACGTACGGGTTCTTCTTCTTGTATTCTTGTTGTTGTTTTTGTTGTTATTGGTGGCGGTGGTATTGGATATGATAAACTATCGGATTGTGGTGAATCATAACGATGTTGATGAAAGCCACTTTCACGATATGTTTGTGTTTGTTGACGAATTTCATTTGTTGGTGTATAGATTGATTCAGGTCGTGAAGCTGAAAAAAAAAAGTAAAATAAGAAAGCTTTTGTTTTTTTTTTAAAACAAAAAATTTTTTTACCATTAGATTTTGTTGAATCATAATAATGTGTACGGTCATTTACTAAAACTCGTTTTGATGGTGTTATTGTACGTGATGCTTCATCAGATGAACATTCAGGTGAACGTACTATAGGAGCAGCCGTTGTTGTTGTTGTAGTTGTTGTTGTTGTTATAATTTTTTTTGGTGCATTTGAACTACCTGTTTGTTCAGTTTTAGTTGTTGATTCTTTAATTTCATGTGTACGTTGTACTTGACATTCAACACGTGTTTCTGTTTCAATTGTTTCAATTTCATCAACAACTAATGGTTTTGTCATAATTGTACGTGATTGTGTTGTTATTGGAACTTTTCGTTGTGAACTTAATCCACTATGATAATTAGCTAAATTTTCATATTCTGATGGTGGTGTACTTGTTACTTGACGTCGAATATTACGTGTTTGTTGTTTTTGTTGATTAAATTGATCAGTAGGAATAATTTCTGTATCATATTTATATGTTGATCGTGAAACAGAATCATCACCACCATGAATTGTTGTTTGATCTGTATCAGAAGCTTGTCGTCGACCATAACGTGAACTTATTGTTGCTGATACAGAATCACCATAAATACCACTATCACGTGTTGTTGGTGTACGATTAACATCATCAATTATTGATGATGATGCATTATTATGCCATGATGATGAACTTGTTGGTAAACGTTGACTTGTAGCTGTTGAATATTCAAATATACCTGAATCGGAACCCATTATTGATTTATGTGGTTCGCGTATTGGTTTTGTTGTTGTACTTGTTATTGGAATTTCATGTGATAGATGTGGAGAAAGCTCGATTAAAAGACCTTTACCTAAACAAGGAGAAAAAAAGCGCTATTAGCACAATCCCTGTAGAATTAAAATGTGAAACACGATGCAGCTGTTCGTGCTAGTGTTTTTCTTCGATCTGTTGTGGGATATATTTATTTATCATTGTGTTAATTAATTCATCAGACATGTACTAAGAAAGTAGTCCATATATTATAGTGAGAGGTTATTGATATATGATCTTCGATCGTATATCAATAACGTCTGTCATGTATCGCTGCTAACAAGAGAACTATTTAAAAGCTGATACTCTTCGTTTTAATTCATACTGAATTCAGGAGAAGATCTTGATAAGAATAGAAAAAAAAATCTAAAAGGATTCGTATCCATCGACCTTTGCAATGAAGTTATGATTGTGTTACCGAATTTTCAACCAATTTTTAAGTATTTACAGAAAAATCAAATAATAGAATTTCGATATGAAATGCAATCTATAGATAGGTCTGATGATCCGGAGAATATATAGAATGTCTCTTTATCGAGATATTGCATTTCCGAAAGAAAACTTGGTGGCCACAAAAATCAAGCTTACGTGAAATTTCAATATTTTGACAAAAGAATATTCTTTTCTGCTGAAACTTTCAGAATATTCTACTAGTCATTCAATCTGTTTATGGACGAAATTTCAAATCGAAATATCAACAGTTGATTTTTCGGTAAGTACCTACAGCTGACTGAAAAATTCAGTAAAATGATCATAAATTGATTTCAGAGATTCATGAACATTTTTCTAGTTTTATCAAGACCTTGTGACGTGATCAATTCGTTTAGTTCCCTCATAAGATATCTAGCATGATCTGTGTGGGTGCAGGAGTGAGACGAATTTCTACCTTCCGTACTACAAAATAAAACATTGAACAAACCTTTGCTTGTTGGTACATGTGAAAGAATATTTTCCATATTTGATTCATTAAATGATGATTTATTTCGTTGACTAATATATGTTGTATCTTCTAATGGTTGTGTTGTACTTTGTGAAAAATCTCTTAAACGTGTTTTAGGTGTACGTCGTCGTATATCATATTGTTGTTCTTGTTTATTTGTTGGATCACTTAATTCATCTTCACTTTCATGACCAGCATCTTCATCAATTTTTTGTTTTGTTGATTTTGGTGTACTTTGATAGATAGGTGGCGATGAACCACTTACATCTGAATCAATTGATGATATTATTCGTTTATCTTTTATTGTTAAATCTGTTGATGTTTGTATAGTTGGTAATTGTTCAGTTGTTTTTGTCATTGATGATTCTAATGATGATTTAATTGCATCAAATCCTGTAGTACCAAGACGATCTGTTGGTTGTATACGAGATGTTGATTTTGATTCAGTACTTTGAATACGTGATATATGTTCTGTAACACGTGATGGAGCAGTATGTGTTTCACTTATACGACGTTCATTTTGATCAAAATCATCAATCTATTAAAATTTAACATAAGAAAAAAAAGAAAAGAATTTTACATAAATAAATATAGTTTGAAAATTTTATGTTTTCGTGTATTGATTTCAAATTTGCAGGTTGAATGTGAAAAATTTTTTTAATGTCAAAAACAATTCACCATGTGTTTAGTAAAGTATAACAATAAACCAATGAAAAAATTATTTCGTGATATATTCTTACCTGAAAGATAGATAGTTTTCGATTAAAAAATATATATTTTTCTTTGTTATATATCATATCTCATTAAAATTTGTCGTGATAAAATGATGTGTCTATATGTATGTGAAGCTCACTACTCAATCTTTGTCTTCGGTGTCGTGTGTATATGATGGATTAGTTCGTGAACAACTACAATCGTACAATTCATGTCTTCTTCTCTCGTTTGTTTTTTACCTATCGTTGAAAATGATTAAGTCAGACAAAGATAAATGAAGTGATTTTATGGTTGTCAAGACATAACAACAACAACAACAACAACAACGAAAAAAAAACACGAAACCGTCACCAAATAAGTATTATTGGAATACATACGAGATGTGTTTGTCGTCGACCACTTATACGATAAACTCGTCTTTGTGGTACGACGATTGTCGGTGTAAGTTGCTGCTGCAAAAATGATGATTGTTCGAATCATAATCTTTTGAGTAAATTGATTTTACTCCTCTCATTCCGATTAGTATAGAAAAATAATGGCAAAGGGAAAGCAAACCCGACACACAGACACACACTCAAGAAAGATAAGCAATTATTGACCAAAGGAGAGCTGAGTGTATTAACTGAAGAATTATTTTAAAAAGTGAAGATGGACTTTTTTTTTGTTTTTCTTACCGGTCGACGAGTTGTTGATGTCCATCCTTTATTAATTTGATCTGGTTCTTCAAATATTCGTCGTCGTTCAGTTAAACTATTAGTTGTTGATATTGGCATTTTAGATTTTGATAAATCATCTTTTATATTTCCATTTGTTGGTGATTCAAATGTATTTCTTAATTCTCCAACACGACTATATGTTGATCGATCAATTCGATTTATACTTGAATCATTTGTACTATCAAATGGTTGTTGTTGTTGTTCAAATCTTGATCGACGTTGATCAATAATTGATGATGATGATGATGATCGTTTTGCTGGTTGTGGACGATCATCATCTGTACGTGATGTTGAAGTTATTTTCTTAGTTGTTTCACGTGATCGAAGAGACTATAAACATGAAAAATTATTTATTTATTTATTTATTTATTTATTTTAAAATTTAATGAAAATTTTCATTACGAGAAGAAGAAGTTTAATCCTTAAAAATAAATAAATCAATCAATAGAAGTTAGTTAAACACGCGAGAAAAATAGAAGGATCAGTGTTGACATATCATGCAAACGTGCAAGAATAATCTCTGTACCTCAACTTACATCAACTAGTACCATTCTTTTATTTTCCTGTTCATCTTCATCCGATGATGAATGAAGATGATAAATTCGTTGATGTAACTGTTTATCTGGTGATGGTCCTCGAGATACACAAACAAGAATCTCTTTGATAGCATGTCGTGATGGGGGAGATGTTTTTAATTTGTTTCGTTCAAATGATGTTTTATCATATCCAGATAGATTTATTGGAGTATCTTTAATTTGTTGTTGAATATTTGTTGGTGTAATAGTTACTCGTTGTGCTGTATAATTACCATTTATTGACTTTCCAAACTGTGATATAGGGAATTAGGGGAAATTAATAATAAATATTTGTTTTTTGCTCTTATTTTTTTCTTTTACTCACAAATTCTCATTAAAAGAAACTATAAATAATAAAATACTCTTTTATTTCCTTTACCTGATCAAATTGATCATCATCTGATGTTGGTGTATAAATTTGTTTAAGTTTATTTCTCCAATTTGAATCTCGTTTTTGTCCAGCTTCATTAACTATTGTTGTTAAACCATGATATGTACGATCACCGGTTGTAACATATGGATCTGACATATCATCTTCGGATGAAACATGTCGTTGTTGTTGGGTACCAATAATTGATGTTTGATATTGACTTGATGGTGAACGACGATCGGAATGTTGTTGTTCAACTTCAACATGATATTCCTCACTAACTGTTTCTTGTTGTTGCTGTTGTTGTCGACGATCAGATATATGTGTTGATGGTGTTATTACATTTGATATATGATCATAAGTTGATGATGGTACCCTTGATATTATTGTTTGATTTGTTGATGATATTGGTACATATTGACCAGGACGTACACGATCATAAGTTGTTGATGATGGTGGAGTTGTTGAATCAAATTTTGTATTGGAACGTTCAGCATTTGCTACAGATTCAATATCACGAGCAATTTTTGAATCATAAACTATTTCTGTTGTATAGATATCTTCCGAAGACCAATGACGATCTCGTGGTGTAATTTCTAGAAAAATTAAAAAAAAAAGATTTCGTAAGTCAATATTTACGTAGAGAAAAACAAAAAAAAACAAATTATTTACCGGTAATTATTTGACGACCAGATGATATTGATGGTGGTGGTAGCGTTGAAATTAAAGTTGGTGGTATTTCTTCATAAACAGGACTTTGTGGACGTTCAATAGAAACAATTTGTGTTCTTGTTGGATCAATTGTATGAGCTGGTACACGACGATAAACTTCTTTAATAACATCATAACTTTTATGTCCTTTAATACGTTCATTTTTTTCTTTATATTCTTCTTTAATAACATCACTTTTAATACGTTCACCTGTTTGATCATAAATTGAACGTAATAATGTATTTGTATTTTTATCATATTCATCTGTACGACGACAACGAAATTCTTCACTCCATTCTTCAAAAACAACTTCTTCACTTGACGTGGATTTTTCATCTTCACTTACATGTTGTACAATAGTATCACGTATAAGAACTTCAGTTTTATTAAGATCATGTAATGGTACAGTTGAACTTGGTACTAAACGTGCACGTTCAAAATCAGGTACATGTTCATCAGATAAATGTTTTGGTGGTAAATGATCAGATTGATCTCGTAATGCTGTTGCGGCATAATGAAGTTTATCTGTTTCAGTTGTATAAGGAATTCTAGTTGGTTGATCAGTTTGAAACTCAGTAGTTTCGGTCATTATTGGTTGTTCAATAAACGGACCGGGACGTGATGGACGAACTAAATAAAATAAATAAATCATTGACTATGGTTTTATTCAAATATTCAAGAAAATATTTCATTAAAAACCAATGTCTTGTCCTTTTTATCGTTATGTATACAAATATTCTATTTGATTTGTAGATCATCTTCGTTCGAGATATAAAAGAATATATGTATATATATATGCATTTATTGAGAGAGAAGCCATAGAAAACGATCGTCTCAGTGTTAGCATATGAAAGAGGGAGAACAAGAAAAAACCAAGAGGGGAGGAGTGAATACTTGAAAAATTTTCAATGATCGATGATGATGTTATCATGCTTCGTTCAAGTTGTTGTTTCGTAACTTAATTGACTCATTATAATATATATATACAGAGAGAGAGAATAATGTTTAATAAGTTTTCTTTTAATTAAAATAAAAATAAAAATGACTAATTCTTTATTCTTACTTCGATATTCTACAGTTAATCTAATTGTTCTACCAGGTGGTACCGAAGTACTTGCTTGCAATTCAACTGTTTTTTTCATTGTTAAAGATGATGTATTCGTTATTGGATAAAAGAAAATTAACGAATACGATTTATATGCGCATAGAAAAAGAAAAATGAATTTATAAATGTAGAAAATGTAATAACAACTAGTAGATGTTGTTCATCGTTCGAGAAGCAGCATGAAGTAAACGTACACATATATATATATATGTTATAATAATAAAAAAACAGTCACTTGTCGTCTCAGAATTTATTAACCGAATACAAGAGAGAGAGAGAGAGAGAGAGAGAGAAATGTCCAATTTATGATGAATAAATATGACTATCATTGGTACCATTCAACGGTTCTTTTTTAAAATATGAAGAAGAACAGTGATGTTGTGTTTTCTTTAATAGTTTTTCATTTCCACGTATATATCAACAATTGATTACCTTTTCTTTTTCTTTCTGTGGAATTTAATAACAAGCGAGAAAAAGAACGAGATGGGAGTTGTTATGTTTGGCAAAGTTCAAAACTTTTTCTCTCGACGAGTCATAATCGAAACGAAGCTATTTCACCTTCTCGTCTCTTGCTTCTCTCTATTTTTTCTCACTTAATCGAGAGCCATATACAAGCAAACAAGAACCAAAATATCGTCCAAAGGAATAATGACGATATACGAATCATTTAAATTGTTCTGATTCTTTCCCTCTTTCTTTTTTTTGTCTTTATTTTTCATAGCATTACTGGTTGCGTTTCTTGCACAAACATTACTCAGTGACACTCCTACAACCACCGACAGGTCTATTAAAATACATTATCGCGTCTCTAGTATAGCAGCACGCAAGACCAACCACATCATCATAAGTAGAGGCATATTATTTTTGTGTTGTTTTTATATATATATGGGGCAAAGAAAATAGAGAAAAGAAAAAAAAATAAAGGAAAGGAAAAAAAATGGTGTAAGAAAAAAAAAAAATACTTGTTTGGTTTGTCTCACATTCATTTATTTAATGATCAATTTCTAATCGCCTTGTTCAATGCTGCTTTATAAAGAAAAGTATAAAACTCTTCATACATTTATATTGTGCGGTTTTTTTTTTTCAAGGAAATTCTGACAGATATATTCGTAAATTCTATATACAGCATGACCTTGCCTCTGTGTGTATGTCATTTGAGCTGTTCCATTTTTCTTTTCTACGAAATATACTTATAATGGAACAAGAGAAACCTTGAGTTCTTACAATAATGATGAAGGAATCAACTCAATATAGAAAAGAAAAAGAAGTAATAACCTTCAATCATATTCTTTTTCCGATTTGTCTACTTGATTTTAAAATTTAATCTTGTCAAAAACAACAAATCGCTTAAAAAAAAATTGCATTTTAATTGATGTTCAATGTCATAGATGTTATTTTTAACCAATGAAATCAAATCACATTTAACATCATCATGTAATCCTTTCGTATGCGAGACAACTACCGTCTTGTTTAATAGTAGTGAAAAAAGAAATTTAATACTCTCTTGTTCTCCCTTAACAACATGATTTAACCGTGAATAGCATCTCATAGCAGATACAAACCTAACCTTCTTAAGGATTATTTTTATGGCATAAACTAAAAGCAAATAACTAGGTGTACAATCACGTATACAAAAACAGAACACTGTCGAATTATTCTCAATTTCAATAGGTGTCTGAATGATTATAATGAAAAACGAAACGACTACTACTATGTCATGACTGGGTGTATTTAACAAAGAAAAACGTCTGGAGAACAAGTTCAAGTGAAGTAAAAAGAAAAATAATAATAATAATAATGATAATAACAAGTTTAAGTTTGTTTTATTCTTAGTGTTTTACAATCTGGCATTTCAACCGGTATTCATACTTTTCTTTTATAACTTAACACTTGTGTTATTCATCATCATCACTGATAAAGAACCCAAATATATCTTACCTTTTTACTCGTCTTCTTTAAAAGAAAAAGAAAGGTCTGCTTGAAAAGGAAATCGACCAGTTAACGTCATGCAAGTTTATATCGAACTGAAAATGAGGACAACACGTTTGTTTCGTTCTTAGCTTACAAAAGAAAAAAGAAATTGATAAGCATGAAGAAACCAAAAAAAAAAAAGAGAAAATTGATTTTTATTCTAAATAACAACAAACATATTTTTTTCTTTTAATAGATTTTTATATATTTTTTTTCTCGTCTAATCATACATACCGATGGGTATATTTTGGTTTATAAAAACGCAATTCCACTAAAAGTAATAGCGTATTATATTGATAATGTTCTCGGCTTCGTTGAAAAGCTAACAACTCATACATACATATATATGTATATATATATATATATTTCTCTCTCTTTTTTTTCTTTCGAAAAGGTGTATGCCGATCGCAAACATATAAACCGTCGTCCTCATAACGATATTTCAAATGATTATTATTACAACAACTATGACACAGAGGTATTATTTTTTCTTTGAGATGAATCAGTAACGAGCACGAGTAAATGCCGAACATATACGTATAGATTTCTATGAAAAGTTTGTCTTACCTATACGCATAGATGGTGTAGGCGTGGCTGTATGTATTGTGATATATTTCTGTTCAGGTAAGTGTTCTAAATCATCAGTTTGTGTAGTTTGTCGAGCTCTATCAGATGAATTGAATGATGGATGTAATGGTGTTGGTTCAATTGATGGACTTGTTGGTAAAATTTTTACTTCTTTTGATTCATGTTCAATATATTCCTACATATAGACATAGATATATCATGATAATAAATTTATTTATAATATTATTTTTTCTCTTGAAAAATCAATAGAAGCTTCTTTTTTGTTTGGTGTTAGTATGAGGTCCCACTGTCTCGCTTTCCTTTTAATGTTTTACAACCGAATGACCTTCTTAATTTGTATTACTTAGTCATTTTTCTTTTCTTTTATATGTGTATATATATATATATATATACATATATATAATATACAACACTAAACTAACAAGGCTACTCGACCGTTGAATAAATTTCATATGTATAGAAAGATCACTATCGTTCCTATCGACTCTTACTGACTGTTCTTCTTTTAAAAAAAAAAAAAAGATGAAAAAGTAGAAGAACAAAAAAGAAACAAAAGAAATCGGATTGTGTCTCGACTCACCGATCAACTATAGATAGATAAGACGGGCTACTTATTCTTTTACTACTCAATGTATGATGATGAAGAACAGTGTATATGTTATTTGTCCGTTGGCATGAACAATATGACCCTTTCACTCAGTTCATAGGTTACGAATATAATGATGTTGGCATTTAGATGGGTTCAATGTGTAGCAATAATCTATCATTGCTTCATCTTTCTTTTTTTTATATATGCACGTGTGTTTATTTGAACGAAGAAAATGAACGATGGACACTAATCGGGACGTGCATTCTTTTAATTGTTTCATTTCGTGATAAAATGATAGTCTATTAATATGTATATGTATGTATGTTTTTATTTACCCTACAACACCTTATATTCGACTCATGACCTATTTGTTGTTTTTTCCTATTATTACTAAATCAAAATTTATTCATCGAATGAAAATTTACTATTATAAAAATCTTCAAACATAATATTTGTCAATGTCTCTTATGTTATCTGTGTATTTAGAAGGTGTTTATTAAATATTATAAAAGGTCTCAAGGTTTTTCTTTTGTCATGTTTTTATAGATTAGATAAAGGAGGTACTATAATGAAAACATTTTATGATACAAGTGTGACAAGATAAAAAACCAAGATTCTAAATAAAATAAAAAAATGTTTTATTTGAAAACTTTTGCAAGACAAAAGATTCAAATTGATCTATTTTGTGATCGATTAAAATCATAAAAAAGAAGCAGAAGATAATATTAAAAGTTAGTTTTTATATATAAAAACTAAAAGAAATTAGCAAACTAAATAGTGCAAATAATTACAAGCATGCAAAGTAATTAAATAAAAGCGATAGCGTGTCGATAGATTGATTAGTATAGAATAAAAGCGAGAAGCATTAACATGCAAATAAGAGGTTCGAAGTTTCTTAAAGTAATACTTTGTGTCATACTACATTGATTGACTACAAGTAGTTTTATTTGGTTGATCGAGTAGATAAACATGCATGTAGGCGTCCCTTTTTTTTTTTTTTTTTTTTTTTAATTCTGCATTGGCATGTATTACCTCATTTTGTTCTGTTGTTGTTGTTGATGATGGAATAACATCAGGTAAAATACTCGATGTAGAATAATCATCTTCATTTTCAATGGTCATTGGTGGTTCAGAAATATTAATATAAAGTGTTTCAGAAAATGGATTTAATGATTGAATATGATAATGTTCGATATACGATGGTTGTTCACATTTATATGATATACTTTTAAGATCTTCTTCATAATCGTATTGATGATTTATTTGTGCAATTGAAAAAATTTTTTGTGGATTAGTTATTTTATATTCATTTGATGATATATTATCATCATAATGAATAGTTGGTAATAAAAAATTTGATGGTAAAAAATTTTGATATTGATTATGAAAACTTATTTGATAGATTGAAGTTTCATTAATTATAGGTAAATGAAAATGTTCGGGTTCAAAAAAAATATTTAAAAATTCTTGTTGATATTCATTGAAATTATATAGTAAAATATTATTATTAGTGTCTTGTTCAAGTTCATTTTCTTTTGCATGATGAATATGATTATCTTCATGTTGATTAAAACCAATAGTTAATAAAAAATCTTTAGTAAGATTATTTTTAGTTTTTTTTTCATTTACTAATGTATCAAGTAGATAATCAACAGGTATGTTAGGTATTATATTTGATGATTGTGATGGTAAAGTTGTTACTATTGGTGTAGCTGTAAATATATGACCAGCACCGACACTAGTCGTTGTCGAAGTTGTATCATTATCTTTATCAAGTGAATCCGTTTCATAGTCACTTGTTGGTGAACAATGACTAACAATCATAGCTGCAGCTACAGGATTATTTTCTTGTATATTATTGATATTTTTTGTATTTAAACTATTTGATATCTCATCTTCGAACCTCTCATCAATAGAATAAGCATCATTAGCAATAGCAACAGCAGCAGCAGCAGCAACAACAAAACCCGAACACTCAGTATTAGTTTTCAACTCTACCTGTTGTTGTATAGTTTCAAGATTTTTTTCTACAATCCATTGTTCAACTAGTTGTTCATCATGTGGTAGTATTGTTGGTTGTAACCATTCAATAGGTAATGAACGACTAAAAAATGGATGTTTTTGTTCGTATCGTTCGATAGCACGTTGTGTACCATCTTGATTTGATCGTATTGATGTTGTATATGATAGAGAAACTTGATCAATTAATGGTAAATGTTGTTCGGGTTCAAGACTTTCTTCAAAACGATTTAGAAATGATTCCATATCCACTATTGATGATGTTTCTGAATATGTTGGTCGTACACGAACTTCAATATCAACTATAACTGGTCGTTTTTCAAGATGTATTGGTTCATGTGAAGTTGCTTCTATTCGATCAATACGATTTGAATGAATTGCTGATATTGTTGAATAATCATATTCATCATTTGATGATATTTGTTGTTGTCGTACACGATAGATTGGTCTTGATTGATTTATTTGTGTTGAAGGTAAAAGAGAAATTTTTTCGCAACTTTTTGTACGAATATTTTCATGTAATAAAGGTACTTGATGAAATTCACTAGCATAATTATCGGATGCTTTTATTATATCTTCATTAGCTGCAGGTGTTATTAATGGTAAATATCGTGGTGATGGTTGATCAGATTGATATTGACTATGTTGTTGTAAATGTTGATATTGATTAGAAAATTGTTGATCAAAAACTTGTTCCCATGGGGAACCTTGTTCTTGATTAGGATGCGCATAATTTAGAGTTAAAAAAGCGGTAGAACGAAGAGGAATTTCAGGTGTTATAGATTCTGGTTGATGTTGTATAAGAAGTGAACCATCAGACATTTGTGATGGTTGTTCAGTTTGAATTTGTAAATGTTGTTGTAAATGTTTATATGGATCGTCAAAATTTCGATCTGAAACTTGTTGCCATGATGGATTTGATTCTTGATTATGCTGAGCATAATTTAGAGGAATAGAAGGAGGAGATATTTCTGCAAGTATTGCTTCTGGTTGATGTTGTTTAAGATGTGAACCATCAGATAATTGTGATGGTTGTTCAGTTTGAGTTTGTAATTGTTGTTGTAAATGTTGATATTGATCAGAAATCTGTTGATCAAAAACTCGTTGCCATGGTAGATTTAATTCTTGATTATGATGTGCGTAATTTAGAGTTAGAAAAGATGTCGAACGAAGAGGTTTTTCTAATATAATTGGTTCATTAATATTTATATTTGATTTTTGTTGATGTTGAATAATAAGTGAATCATCTGATAATGATGATATTTGTTCATCATTTATATCTAGATGATTATCAATAGGATGACATAAAATTTCTTGATTAGTTTTTTTTGAATATTCAAATTTATTATTTGATTCAAGTCGTTCAATAGAACGATCACGTTGAATAGATTTTGTTTCAATTTGTTGTGTTATTTCTTGATTATTATTTTCAATATGTTCATAACGTTCACGTGATAGAATTGATTTTGGTTTAGTTATTTTAGCTTGTTCATATTTTATTGTTGATGGATATTGTTCTTGTGCATTTTGTATATTAGATTGAATGGTATTTGTAATAGGTTTTAGTTTTTCATCTTTCCAATCGGTATCATAAACAATAATTGGTATACGATTATTTTCTTCGATTTTTTCAAAGAGCTTTTGATGATAATCACTTTGAATTATTTGTGTAGCATGCTGTTCGTCTAGAGCAGTAGTAGCAGTAGCCAGCTCTTCGAGCAGCAAAGCTTGGAGACTTGGCTCAGTAAGCTAGAAGAATATATATGATGTATATATTGGATTTGGTGAATATGTAAAATACATTTTTGATATAGATTTAAAAAGTAAGCACGTATATTTTGAATGAATATGAATATACAACATCGAAAGCAAGAAAATAAGCCGCGATATGAAGGTGAAATAACATCGATAACTTTTTCTTTTCTTTTCTTTTTTTTTTTTTTCGTTTATGAGACCTTCACCATATGCTACGTTTTAATATTGTTTGTCATATAACAGATATCTAATTGAGCATTTATCCAGCTATTTGTTTCTATAGACTTACCGTTTTAGGAGCATTCAATTTTTGAATCGATTCAGTAAATGATGCACGTCCATGTGAAACATCAGTTACCCATGATGTTTCGACTTGTACAGCCATTGGTTCTTCATCAATATCCTTTTACAACAAAACAAAAAAGCATCTATCTTATTAGTTACCTATGTTAAATTAAGTCTATATCCCCGAAAAATGCCCCCGGTTTTTGTTTTCTAGAACACGTTGATATTGTGTATTATAAAGAAATGAGAAAAAGAAAATTATCATTTTCTTTATAAACACAATTTCTAGCTTTTTTTTTGCTTTATATAGAAGCGAAATCTGTGCAATAAAAACAAAAATTCTTTTCTTTTTTTTTTAATATATTACCACAGGCATATGTTCTTGAACATGATGTGTTTGTACTGGTGGATGATGATATAATGGTTGTGTTATGTCGTCAAGAGGTGCAATATCCTGATAATCATATTTAACTGTAACTGAATCATGCGATTGTAGTTTTAAATCTTTATCAGAACCAAATGATGATGTTCGAGATAATGGAACGTCATATATTTCACCTATATTAACAAAATAAATAAGTAGTTAAATATATATGATCAGGGTAATCTGTTTATGATCAAAACAAAAAATAATAATAATAAAATAATTTTCTATTTTGGATTAAAAAAAAAAAAAAATCTTGCAAAGCAGAGCAACTCACGTAAAAGTGAAGAAGGTATAGTAATATAGACATCAATAGTTGGTATTTCTATCCGTTTATTTATTTTACATATTAGAAAAAAAATTTATTTAAATATTCTTTTTTTTATGCTTACCATAATTGTAGATAATATTTTTTTTCGAATGTTTAAGTGTTTCTAAATGTTGAGTAGGTTCTTGTGTAGGTTGAAGATTTTCTCTTTGATCAAGTTGAGTTTGAAGTAAAGGTCTTATTTGTTCATATTCAATATCCGATAATCGATTTTCTCTTGATCGATGTTGTTTAATAGGAATTATTTTTCCCCAATTTATTGGATTTTCTTTTGATCGATTACTTAATTGATTATCTTGTTCAATATGTGAACTAGTTAAATATTCTACATTAGGCGTTCTATCAAGTAAATGTTGATCTAATGTTTCATAAATAACTGGTTCATCTGTACGTTGTAATGTTTGAATTTGATCAATTTGTTTATTATCAATAAGTTTTGTTTGTTCAGTTGTAAATGTTGATAATGGAATATTTGTTATATTTTCAAATATATTAAGTTGATCTTCACGAACAGGTCGAATATTTGAATTAGGATCAATTTCAACTTGACGTAACAAATCTAATGCACGTATACGTCGTTGATAATAATCATCTTCACGTAAATTTTCTAAACGCTCTTCATCAGATTGTTCTAATCGATTCATACGTGATGCATTTAATATCAACGGTTGTTCACTTGCTTGTGATGTATTTAATGAAACAATACCACTATCAACTGGCATTTCATTTAATTTATTTCGAGAATATTGATGAATATTTGCTGTTGATATATTTTCAAATACTGATATATCTTGTTCAACTCTTGCCATATGTTCAGCAATAGGAGTTATTAATTGTGTACGTTGACGTTGTATTTCGTCCTCAATACGACGTGTTGCTTGTTCATTTTGTTCATCAACTAATTGACCTATATTAGCAGCAGCTAATAAAAGTGGTTGAGGACCAATATTATGCTGATGCTGAGTTTGTTCAGGTGTAAGAATAACCATAGCATGATCATAATCATGCGGAGGTATTTGAAGACGTTGTGCTTGTTGTGCTAATAAATTTAATTCATTTATTTCACCTTGATTTAATGTTAATACATGTTTAATATTAACCATCGATAAATCATGATTGCCTGATGCACTTTCAACACGATCAGCATGAAATACTGGAACTTTTTCAATATTTAACGATGGAGTATAAATTTTAGCTGGAGAACGACGAGGTGATATTATTGTAGTTTCTGTTGATGTAATGACCTTAAGTTCAAAGAAACGTTTTTTCTTTTCTTTTATTAACATATTCAATCATTCTATTGTCAAAAGTAAAGTTATGATTTTGTCTACTCTTCTTTTGAAGAACTCATATTAGACTTTGCAAAGAAAAATCGAATGAATGCAAATGTTAAGTTTAAGTTTTGTAACCTCCTCCTCCCTCATAGTAACGGAAGAAAACTCTTTAACAATGGAAAAAGGCGTTAAAAATCACTAGTAAAAAGAATTACGAGAAAATCTCTTCCAATATCTGTTTTCGATTTTAATGATTTTTTTCGCCTATGAATACTACATAGTGTTCTAATAAAAAGCCCTGAAAGGATTTAGATTTCTATTGATATTTCACTAAGCTACGGCAATTCTTTCGAAGAGCACTAGATTCTGAAGAAACTCATATTTTCGAATTTGAGATCTACAAGTTTGTGCATATAAAGAACTCAACTAGATTGACTTCCATAAAAAAATTCAACAACTTTGAAAAAAGTTTTTTCGAGATATGAAGCTTTCAAAAAAATGCATGTTATGTACACTATTCATGCAAAGGTCTGTATCTTGAAAATTTTACTCTCGAAAACTTCTGAATATTTTTTATAGAAGCTAACCTACGTCAGTTCTCTATATGCACGAACTTTCAGATCCAAAATTGGAAAATACGAGTTTACCGAAAGTCTAAAACCTCTAGAAAAAAATTCTATCGTTTAGTCAAAGTCAAATACTTTGGAGTTTTTATTAAAACCCTTTGCAGTATCTACAGACAAACAAAATCATTGAATCATAAGGATACATTTGAGAAGGTTTTCTTGTTGGACTGTTCTAGAACATTCCAGAATTTTTCTCGAAATTTGAAAGACTGAAATAAGTTTGTCAATGTTAGAATCCATCAAATTCCAGCTTTTCGTGCCCGACTCGGCTGGGCACTAGCCGATGTTCTAAATAATGCAGTGTTTGATTTTTTTCACTTATAAAAATTTATATTCAAGATGTTAATGATGATAGGTAATGATGTATTGATTTATCACAGTCGTCATATGATCGACATAAAAAATGTGAACTGATTAAGTTATAACCTTCAATATCAATGCTTATGAGCTTATCAAGATATATAATAGTGTATTGAGACCTACTGTAGATATAATGGATATGTACAATCAACTTATTTGTCAGTGAAATAATTAGTTAGAATAATAGTAATTATGTGAAATTAAGAAGAAGAGAACACGAAAATGAAATATAACTAGCGAATAGCAATAAGGAAACTAATAAAAGAAAAAATGTCTGTTCGAAATGCAGAAATAAATAAGACAGATCGTTTTCCCGACGATCGATTATTCTTGGATAGCAACTATAGTTTGCTAGAGAATTTTCACTAAAATGTACTTTGTATTAATTAGTATCATAAGGCTAAAGAACACAGAATGTCGAAACGTTTTTGTGAGATAGCTGAAATTTTATTTGCTTTTTACCTGAGCTGCTCTTTGTAGTTCTGGTTCAATATCAGCATCTTTGAAAAGTATTTGTTGTGAAGTAGTTAATGCACGTTCAACAAGATCATCTGACTGTGGTTCAACAATATTACTGTGAGCTCGATCTTTTCGAATATAAACACGAGTACGATCACCAAAATCTGGAGGAGGAACAGTTGATGCATGAGGAATTTCATATTGTTCTGCTGTCTTTGTTGTTATAGTTGTTGGTTTTTGTGTTAAATGTTGCTTAACAGCTGCGTAAGATGGTGGTGGAGCAATAATGCCAACATGATGAACAACATCAGCACTACCATCATCGGTTAATGTTCGACGTGCACGACTCGTGTGAATTTTTTCTGTTTTTACAACTGGTGGTCGAACGATAATTAATTCATTACGTGGATCATCACGAATTGATTGAATACCTGGTTCATTTGTACGAAGAATACTAGTAGAAGTTAAATTTGATGGACGGTGTTGACGATCAACTACTGGAGTTTTATGAATTTCAATTATCGGTGGTTGAGTAGATTTGACTGCACTAATAAAATTTGTGTCGGATGTGTACATCGGTGAACTACCAATACCTGAAATTTACATTAGAAAAAAAATTGAGATCATAAAATATATAATAACCTTGGTCTTTAATGAAAACTTATGTAAATAGATTGTTATGAAGGACTTTTTTTTAGAAATAAAAATGTTAAATTAGCAATAATGTTCTAATAGGTACATGAGTTTTGACATGAGCAGACTAATAGAAAAGAGTTTTAATTTTAATTTTCATCTTAGCAAAAATTTTGTCAATATACAAGATGTTTTGAAAGTCCGGTTGAAAACGATGAAGGTGCAAAGTTCGTGTAAAAAGATGCACTTTTAAAATTTTCTAGAATCTTACATATTTCAACTGATTCGATTAGGATTCGTTACTTTGGAATTGAAAATGAATGAGATGTCTAACATTTACAACTTTTATAACAAAGATTTTTGTCAATTTTTCTTCTACGTACTTTAACTCTTGAATGTAAGTCTTTTTTTCAGTCTCTCAACTGGTTTCAATCAACAAACGATAAGAAACATATGACTAATGAAGTATTTTTAAAAGTTTCACAGTTGATTTATATGACTCTGAACAAACATTATTGTTAATACACAAATATGAACACTAATGACTAAACATAATATCAAATTATGGGTACATTTTTATCCTAATTTCTGGATATCTTCATAAACTTAAGCAGGTGCATATCACAACTGTAGAACCGATAGATTACAAGAAGAATGTCTATATACTAAACATTTATCGATCATCTTTCGAAATTCTTGAAAGTTTTGACAAACCTAAACGAAGCCATAATGTCAGTTTCACATATGATTAGCCATTGGTATACATTTTTATATATTAACAATAATGTTTATTCAGAGATAAATGAATCAACTTTGAAGCTTTTTAAAATACTTCATTAGTCATATGTTTCTTATCATTTGTTTGTTGAAACTAATTGAGAGACTGAAAAAAGACTTAATCGAGAGTTAAAGTGTATAGAATAAAAATCGATACAAAGCTTTATTTTAAAATGTCTTCTTCGTCGTCAATTCCAAAGTAACAAATTCCAATTGAACGATTTGAGATATAGAAGATTATAGAAAATTGAAAAAGATGAATCTTTAAAAGAAAACTGCTCCTCTATGTTTTAAGACTATTGAAACATTTGCAAAATACTGAAAGGTTTATTCTTTATAAACCTCAAGTCGAATAAGTTATCGTCGTAAAAAAAAACTATCAATTGAATTTGGAAAACAAAGGCATCTACTAAACATCGCATTATTATCACATTTGTGAAATCAGCATCATCAATGACGTTCTTGAAGACATCAAATAATTACCAAAAAAATAAGTCAATGACCCTTATAAAAAATGAGTTATGATAAAAATGTGTTCAGTCCATGTAACTCTTTTTCCTAGAACTATTGAACAAAGTATGTATAGGCTGAACACTTGATAATGGTTCAATTTAATGAATGTGATTGACTTTTCTTTAGTAATTACTCCAGACCTTCAAGAGCGTCGTTGATTTTCAATAGTATTGACTTCACAAATGTAGTGCTAATGTAATGCCTATTTGGTTTGTTTTTTCCAAATTCAATTTATAGTTTTCGTTTTATAGCAATGACGTATTGAATTTGCCCTTGAGTAAAACTATTTTAATTCTGGCTTCTATAGAGTTGCAGTCGGTGTCAACTTACTTTTGAGTCGGAACTATGTACAACTTGTAGATTCTAATGAACTATGAATACTCTAAAAAGAGTTCAGACTAACGACTTATTACTGTTGAGATACTGTATATTTTAGCAGAATGCACTAGTTCCCTCAGGAAACTATGCTACGAATATATGTCTATGATAAAAGTATGTTTTTCACGCCGTTCATATACAGGGTGTCGTATAAATAGCATTCAGATTCAATCAGATGGACTGATTTTTTGGTCAGTGGTAGTATTTTATTCAAATTTCTTTTTTTCATATGGATCATGTAAACGTATACTTATATTGAGTATCATTGTTAAAGTACATTTGAAGGGTTCTATAGATAATTTTTAGTTGTCATCTAAGAAAATAACAACAAGAAATCAAAAAACAAATATTATAAATGGTACAACATTGATGCAAATAAACCAAATTTTTACAACCAGCATTTTTAAATGCTATAAGTCGTGTCTGAAAAATAAAACGCACAATAAAAGTCTTTTGGGTATTGAATCAGCAGATTTTTCTAAAAAAAAAACAGTGTTCCATGCTTAAAAATTCGGAATATTGTATTCGTTGAGTTTTAAATTAACTACTGTTGAAAACGTGGTCTATTTGCATCAATGTTGCATCACTCATAAAGTTTGTTTTGATTTCTTCTTGCTGTTCTCTTAGATGGCAACTAAAAGTTATCTATAGAATATTTCACATGTATATGTCTTTCTTGATAACAGATAAAATTTCTTTAGCAAGATGAACAATAATATTTAATAGAAATATTTGCTTTCGTGAGCCGAATGAAAAAATGCTATTTATGCAATAACCTGTACAATGGCAAATTTCAATGGTCTCATTTCAGAATAGGTGCAATCCAAAAATATGAAACTTGTACGATAACAAATTCTCATTCAGACGTGTCTCTATGTAAAGTGTTCCTGAAGGGATCAGACATTCTGCTAAAAAAATACAGTATCTTGTCAGTAATAAGCTATTAGTTCCAAACTCTTTTTAGAATATTCATAGTGCATTAGAAGTTCATATGGGTGTGAGTGTGATGTCTCGATGTGAAGTTTCTATGAAGAGAAGACTCACATCAGTGAGCAACTGTTCGGTTTTCCCCAATGCAAAAATAATTTGACACTTAGAACCGTTCTCTCATAGCATATAATAGAGAAGTTTTTCTGTTTAATTGAAAAGTTATTTTCATTTCTAATAGATGGACACTAAACTGAATGTTTCTATTCGAAAAAAGAAAAACTAAAGATATCTCATACCAGCCAACAATTGTCCTTGTCTTTCTCTTCGACGTCTTTCAACTTCAATAGCAATTTTTCGTTTATAATTTTCCAAAACAAATGGTTTATAAATATCAGCAACATCTTCAACTGTAAATGATGTTGGTGTTGTAAATGGTTGTTTATAACGTAAATGTTCTTTTCGTACTTGATATAAATGTTCAGCAGATAAACTACGACCTAATTTACTGGTTGTTTCATCAATAAATTCTCTATTACGATCTTGTCTCATAAGTGCTTTATCACGTGCAATTGTTTCAACATGTCGTACACTTTCTTGCATACTACGATTTAATTGTGATATGTAAAAATCAGCAATAAGATGACTTGGACGATCAAGTAATGAACGATTAACTGTTGATAAATAACGTGATAATTGTTTTTGATTAGGTATTGTTTTTCGTTGATTATCATCTATAATTTGTTCTTCTTCTTCATCGGACCAAAACGATGAATTTGATCTAATATCAACATCACTATCATTATCAACAACTTTCATTTGTGATGTTGTTGTTGGTTGATGATGTATTTTTTGTTTTGTATATTGTGATGCATTTGATACTTGACCAGCAATAGATGCATCAACACCACGAAAACGATCTTGCATGATTTCATAAAATAAATCAACATTTGGACCAGGTGTAACATGAGTTGGACGAAGAGGTGTTGGAGTTTGTGCAGTCTGAAAAAAAGAATTTTTTTTTATATTATTAATATCAGAGTTTGTGAAAAACAAAACTAAAAATCCTTCTTTTATGGTAATATAAAGTTATACTTCTTTTCTTTTATTAATATCAAAATTTACATCATTTTTTTTTTTTTTTTTTATTAAATAAAATCTTAGTGTTGGTGAATTGGCTTCTATTTATTTTTTAAATTAATAGAATTTACTTTAATACAATAATCATTCTCTTGCTTTTTGTTGTCTTCCTCTCACTATTTTAAAGTAACAATAGAAATTGAATAAAGTGTCATTCAGTTCATAAAGCTTGATTGTTTAATTTTTCAAATCAAGTATTTTTTTGGAGTTTTTAATTATTCATCATCTTGAAGTTGTTATTTTCAATTACAAGATGTCTGATATATTTTTATGAAAATGTAAATTTTTCTTATTATGAAGTTTTATCAATACAATGAAAAAAAAACGAACATAAATAAATCAAATTTTTATTATTTTGTTTCGTTACGAGAAAACTCATTCGACTAATCTTCTCTATTTGATTGCTCATAGTATAGATAAAAATCCTGAAAGGGTTCGTGCTATTGGATGTCTTTTTTCTCAAGTTATGATCATTTTACTGAACTTTCAGTCTACTGTAGATATCATGATAAAAATCTCAACAAGGAGTTTCACCTTGCAACAATAATTCTCAAGGACGTTATGATATTCTAAGAGTTTTACCTCGAACGGATGTTTCCCTTCCAAGATAGCACGTTTGAAAAAGAAAACGTCACTTTCACACAAGAGCTCGACAAGTAGTCCGGCTTCTAGGCAGATGATTTCTTAAGAAGAAATCATTCATTTGCATTGAAACTTTTAGAATATTAAAATGTCCTTGAGAATTATTATTGGGCAGAAATTCAAGGTGACACTACTTGTTGTGATTTTTCTCATGCTATCTTGCAATAGACTGAAAGTTCAGTAAAATGACTATAACTTAAGAAGAAAGACACCTAATGGCGCGAAGCCTGTTAGGATTTTTATCTATATTATGCGTACTCAAACGAAGATTATAAGTCAGATTATTTCCTTTTATTAATCAATCTATTTATGGCAGCATAGCCATAGTTAATTCAATGTTTAACAAAATAAAACTTTAATTCATGATTATGAGTTGAGAAATTAACTGAAATGATTAGACTTTATAAAACTCATAATCCGAAAATAAACGAACGTATATAAAAACGTGATTGAAAAATTAAATATGCATAATAAATTTGATAAAGAAAGATTTACATTTAGTTTTTATTATGAAATAAATTTTTTTTCTAATCTATTGAATATAAAACAACCTTCACTTGTCGGTAATATTAAAAGATTAGATTATGTAAGAATTGATCGATCATTTATCAAACAGAAATTTGATATGTTTTAATACTTTCAGAAATGGTGGTATAAGTACAAAGATAAACTATATTGAAAGATGAGCATAGAACAATTCTTTTTGAAAGACTAAAAAGCAAAATGAACCCTTCAAGCAATGTAATAACTGAGACTTCTGTTTACCAAGTGGATGCAGAAAAGAATTGAGGCAGTTATGAAAAAAGAATAATATTTACTGAAGTATGTGATTTTTGTGATCGACGATCAGTTTCAAAACCACCTGATTGTGCATCTATATTTTCATTTAAACTTCCAGTCATAATTGGACTATATGATGAGAGTAATGGTGATAAAAGTCCAGCACCAATTGATGATGTTGGTGTTGATGATGTTATTTGTCCATCAAAACTTGTACTTAATCGAAGACGTCTTTCTCTATCAATAGCTCGTTTCATTTTATATGCTTCTAATGTTGGTGACATATGTATATCTTGTATATCTTCATATGTATATGAACGCATATTAATACGTGTTTGAAAATTTCGATTTTCTTCTCGTCTTAAATCATCTAAATATGTTGATGAAAAACAACGTATTAAATCATAATTTAATTCACGTTGTAATGATTGATTTTCAAGCGAACGTAAATATCGATGAAAATTTTGATCTAATTGTTTAATACGATTAATATCAGCTAAATAATTACCATCAATTAGACTTTTATTAACATTTTTCATAATTTGTGTATGGGTACGATTTGTATTTAAACCACGATTATATATAAATGGACGTTTTTGTTGTTCATCATCATCACTATCCATTGGATAATCAATAGGTGGTTCTTCTTGTGCATAATATTGACTAACATAATCATGTTGTGGTTGAAATGGTATTGGTGGTGAAAGAATTTGTTGTTGTTGAAGATATTTTTGATTTGTTGATGAAACAAGACGATCAACCGATTGTTGAAATGCTTGTGGTGAACGTCCACGTTTTTTACCAGCTAGACGTTCACGTGCTTCATCTAAATATGAACGTTGTGTTGATGATGGATCAAAACGAACATTTTGAACTTTATTTGGTGGTGATCGTCTTAATGTTGATAATGAACCATTTGTTGATGTTATTGTATCTATACGTGTTGGTGAACGTTTTGTTGTTTGTCGATGTTCAGGACTGGTACTTGATGTACGTGGACGTTTTAATTGTGAACTTGGTGATAAATCATTTATGCTATCAAAAACAATTTGTGGTTGTTGACGTTCTTGTATCCATGCATCTTGATAAAAGAAGAAGAGAAAGAAAAAGAATAGGATAAGATTAAGTTATTTAGAAAGGATGCCCAGTCCATACGAGACTAATAAAAATAGCAACTTGAATTTATCTTTTCTTTTACTCTCTTTTTATTTCTTTTTGTTGGCTTTATTTGTCTTTGGTAACTACGTAAATCTTACCTTCTGGGTTAGCTAATGATGTTAAAGTTGAGTGCGGGTGAGATTCTGTCGTCTTTGAAAACAGATAAGGTGTATCAGGTATGATAGCCGTTGGTTGTATTGACTTTGTTGTTGGCAATGAAGTTTTATCAGTCGTTGATGATGTTCCATTAATAAAAGTAATTGTATGTGGTTCTAATCCACTACCAGAATGAATATATGTTAATGTTTGTTGTGGTTGTTTAGTTGAATCTGTTGAAGGAAAATAATATCGATCAGAATCTGTTGAATGCGATCGTGCTTCTGTTTGTCCATTAGGAAATTTATAAACATTATTATTATTTTGATCAGTTGTAGCCGGTGAAAATTTATAACGTTTTCTTGCTGATGGTGGTGTTGATGATGATGATGATGTTGGATTATTATTTAATTTATTTTTTCTTGTTGTTGATGATGATTTTCTTGATATTCGATGATCATTTGAAGATGCACGGAATAGATAACGATCAGGAATATGTGATGGTGGTGGTAAAGCTGATGTTGACATATTTTGATTATTATTATTATTGTTATTATTTGTATTAGAATTATAAACGTTATCCAAGCGAGAAAGTAATCGTTTAAATTTTTCTAATTGTTCAACTTTAGTTTTAACTAATGGTAAATGTGCTTCGAGTGTAAAATAATTTGCACTCGTATTATTTAATGAAGACGATGATGATGGTGAACTGAATAATGATGATGACGAAGAGGATAACGAAGAAGGATCAGCTAATGTTTGTTGATTATCTGAAGAGCCGTTCACTAACTAGAAAAATATTATTCATGTAATAGTGACTGATTAACTTGTTGCCGATGTGTCACAGCTGCCTCTTAGCATAGTTTCGAAAAAAAAAAGGAGAATATAGAAAAAAAACGGAACACAATGAGCAAAGGCGAGAAAAAAATGTAAAAAGTTGGGTGCACTAGGCTTCTACCGTTATTTTATTCTTTATTTCTTCTCATTTTTTTCTTCTTTTGTAGTTCGACGCGTGTTCTTTTCTATCCTACGACAATGTAATGGGAGTGAAGAATGAAGAAGTTCTTCATTTTTTTTTCTACTATTTTATGTCAAATTCGAGGTATAAAGTGTGCAAAAGTAAAAATGAAGAGTGAAAGAAAGAACTGTCTCCGCATAAGATTGAACTTTTTTCTTTCTCTGTGTTCATGCATTGACAAATGTAATGAGAAAATCATTAACCTTCATGGTACCATTGTATTCAAACCCTGAAGCTTAAATATGAATGAAAGCGCATGTTTGCCGTCAACTCTTGAAATAAAAGATGAAGAATACGAAGACATTTTGTGTGTTCTATTTGCTTTTCTGTGCTTCGTCAAGTTATGTGTATGCATGTGTGGGGTTCGTAAAGAGATGATGCTTGCAAAACATTACCACCACAAAAGCAGCAATAACCTCGAAGGAGAATTCCCGTAAAAATAATATCGAGTGACAATAAGAAGAACAAATAGTTGCAACATTTTTTAAACATACTGGTATTTCATTTTCTATTTTCTTTTTTCTTTATTATAAACATATTTCAATAAATGACAATGAAACTTACCATTGTGCTCGGTGAAGATATTTCAAAATTCATGTTCATTCAAACAAAATCTTACTACTATATACTGTTTGTTTAATCGGGTATAATCGTAATCGCCTTGACCACACACGCACAAAAATAAGATAAAGAAAGAAAAGATGAGTCTATGTATGTGTCTACTATTCGATGGTCAAAGACAACAACGGAAAAAAAGAGAGAGAGAGAGAGAGAGAGAGAACAACAAGAAAGGAAAAGAGATGAGTTGTAAAAAAAAGATAAAATCAATGCTTGAAACTAATCAAAGCCATATTTATGTATGAAGAACGAGAAAGAGAAATATCAACGAAAGAAATCTATAAGTCGCATGTAAACAAGATGAACGCGCGTACATTCGTTCATGTTCATATATATGTAGAAGACAATGAATATGATAGATAAGGTAATGAACATATACATTTCGTTCTCTTTCGATAATTCGCACGAAAACATCGAAAAAAAAGATCGGTTGTCTGTCTATTGCTTTCAATGACCTTCAGGATATATGAGCAGACACATACAAGACAGCAAAAGCATGTGATTGAATGAAACCAAGGAAGATCAAAATCAATATTTTCCTTACGTGTATAAATCGTCTATGAGCAACAGAAACCAAATCTCAACTTAGTTGCTTTCATTTATCCCTGTCGTTTTATTTCTTTCTCTCTTCTCATTTTTTTTTTCTTCTTATCAATCAAAAAGCTAGTTACAAGTATTTTATTGGTAACTTGTGATTTTATTTTTGTCAACTAGACGACGATCATAAAAAATTAGAAACGTAAAATAATGACAACATGACAACCGCAACGACAACAAACGTTTACTACTATGCATATTTAAATGTGGTCTATTACACTATTTATTTGTTATTTTTTTTTTCTGCGTTAGTATATATACGCTTTCTTTCATTTTTATTTCTCTCATTCCATTTGTCGATTCTTTAGAAATTAAACCGCCTTTTCTTTCTTTCAGTTTTCAAGTACAGTATGGAAAGAAGAAAAGCAAAAAAATGTAAGAAAAGAGAAAAAGAAAATAAAAACATACGTGAGTGTGTATACACGAGCATAAAGCGCATATATTCGCATGCGTAAACGAAGCCGTATTTAGTACCTTTCTTGTAATGGTCAAATGAACTAAGAACGATAAGTACGGATTGAGTTCAACAGCGCAAACAGAACATGCAATCATGCATATTCTTTCTTTGTTCTCTTTATTTCTATCGATTGAGAAAAAAAAGAGCATTGATTTTGACTCAATAATTTTAGATCCGAATCTTAACTTAATTTCAAACCCATCAAAAGATTTTAATATTCAGAATTGTTTCGATTAAAAGTTATGATTAATCATGATTATTTACTTGACATAAAGCCAAAAGACATTTTGGTATTTTTTTTTGAAATATTATTTCACCTTCAGCATTCTTTTTGAAATAACAACAAATAAAAAAAGAGTAATAGTGATGTAACAAATTCGCTTTGAAATTGTGTCGGTATGCAACAACATACACACTCACGCACGTTACACTTGAATTTTTTCGCTTCAATACTACTGCTCCTACCGGCTTTGTTTCGTGTCTTCTTGTGAATGTTTTTACACTAGCAATGCATTCGTTTGTATAAGTGCTTGTGTCTTCTTTCGAAAACAATCACACTCCACTAACCGCTCGCTGTTATTTACTCAGCATGTGCTCTAAATCTTACGTGACGTTCAATCAGTTAGAATCGATAACTTATCGAACTATGAACACATACGTATGTTGAATAGGTTCAATAAAGTAACAAAGAAAACTTATTTACCTGTCGGTCAATACCTCTTCGAGTTTGAGTAATCAAACAGAATAACGACGACGATAAGAAATAATCGTCGATACAAAGAACAAAGAAAAAGATATTAAAGTTAATTTGAGAAGCAGTCAAATTGAATTATTGTTCCCAGTTGGTGACTGCTTCTCGTCGTACGTATTCAAATAATAGCAATAGAAGAAAAGAAATGAAATGAAGACGAAAAAGGAAAAAAAGAAAATTTATACATTCAGTGCCGTTACTTTTTACAATCACCACTTCGCCTACACACCTTCTATTCTTGCTGCCAACACATTTCGTTCTTTAACAAAATGTACACCGTCTTTATAAAATAAATATTATGTGCACAATTCATCATACATACATAAGCCGGATGCCAATGCTCACCACAAACTAGTCAGGATTCACTCTCTCCTCTCTCTCTCTCTCTCTCTCTCTCTCTCTCTCTCTCTTCCTACCTCATTTTTTTTTTCTTACTTTATAAAACATAGTAAAGAATTGCGGAATAAAAAAATAATTGAGTAATTCATGTACTCGTGCATACGTTCGTGTGTGTGTGTGTGCTTGTATTGTCATTTCATCTCAAGTCAATATTGAACCTGGCTTATCGTTGTTCAACAGATGATACTACTCCAGTGTCGTTCTTTTTCTTTTCTCTCCTTCTCTGTCAAATTATCAAAAGATTACTTGAATTTCGTAGTGATCGCAGTCTTCTTTATTCTTGACCGCTTATGTCATTATAACAAGAGACTCAATAATCGTCGAACCAGAATAGTAATAGGCAAATGACTTTAAACTGCAATTTCTGCTTTTGTATATGTACGTAGTTACATGATTTCTCTCTGTTCCTTCTCTCTCTCTTTTTTTTTTGGAGGATGATGAATCGAGTTTGAATGTACACTACGTTCGAAGGTCAATTTTGTAGTTCTTCGTTTGATAATTTGTGCCACATACATACATATATATATGTGTGTGTGCGACCTGAATTTCGAGACAATGATAATCTGTTACTTCTATAGAATGACGAAACAATATCAATTTATCGTTACCATATACCGAACGAAAATAACGAATATGGACACCTACAGAGATATTCAATTTCAGTCAGAGCCGAAGAATCGTTACGTCCTGTATGTATGACATAACTAGCAAATATTCATAAGTAGAAAGAAGGAGGTACTCCGTCCATCAACTTCCACTTGAAAATAAGAGTGAGAAAATGAAGAGCACATACGCGAACATGCATGTATGTATACAAGTTTTAATACCACTTACTTCATTTACGATCGATTGTGACACCATTGTTGATTGAGGATACGGACGAGGATGCTGTCGAAAAGCATATAATGACATTGATGATGAAGGTGGTTTAAAAGAGTATAATGTACGAAGTAGGGCATCGGCATAAGTATCAACTTTTGGTAATTGACCATCTACATTAAAATTTGTCGCTTCTCGAATTGTAGATAAATATGGCATTGTATCTTATCGTCTTTTTTTCTTTTCTCTTGTGTGAAATTGTTGATTAAAAGTATCTTAAAAAGTACAACGTTTTTTTTTAAAATCAACCTTGAATAGAATAACAGATATGCATAATAAATGAAGTATTTTAAATACATAATAGAGACTGCAATTGGCCGGATCAAATAGAATTTTATAGTTATATGGAATATAGTCAATCTAAGAGTCTACTTAACATAAAAAAAGAAGGAATTTGACGATCAAATGTTATAAATATGATCAATGAACTTACTTGACATTTCATTTTTGAATGAATAACTTGTCAAATCATTATTTCTTTTTTTGGCAATTATATTCACTCAAATCTCAAACAATGAACAAACTAATTGATCTGTATCATATTATATGTGTATGCTTAACTGTCTATTACTTATAAGAAAATGGTACCATCCTTTCGAGTTCTGAGAGCTTGCATACATTCATACGACGTGTCACCTATTCTATGAGACAGTTGACTAGACGAAAAAAAATGTAAAGAATATGACTAAAAAATATATATATATACAAACGATTGAGCAACTGCGACAGACAATTAACCTCCTTGACGAGCGTATAGTTCAGTAGTCAACGTTAAATATATATATATATACATATACACTTGTCCCTCCCAGATGTGCACGACCCTTGGTAGATATGTCCACACCCATATATATATATGTATATAGTAAAGATGTCTAACGATGGTAATTTTTTTCTTTTTACGGTTTTTTTTATGGATATAAATAGATGTGTCTATCGACTGAACGGAAGATCTTTACTTGCTTATTTAGAGATATACATTTGACGGATCGTTGACTATTCAACGTATACTTCAATTATCTAATGAGGCTGACTATGTGCATTCACGCGCACCATGTCGTGCGACGATGGTTTTATAGTGATAAGACAAAATAAAAGTTGATTGAGCAAGTGCGTGTTTATGCACAGAAGGAATGGTAATTATCAAGCTGTCAATCGAAACATTCTTCGTTTTTTTTGCTCTTTTTTTTGTCAATCTTAAACTAATAACATTGTCATTAATAGAAAAATAGTGTTAGAAGAAGTCACTTGAACGTGCCATAGACTATATGAACTGTATGATAAATGAAACTGCATCTTTGTACGTGTGGAATAAAAAAGAATTTCATGTTTGTGAAACCAATTCTGATAAAACAATAAATACTTATTCTAATAAAATAATTTCCATCGAAACAGCATGAACTTCCACACAATTTAGTAATATTTGATTTATTAAGAAATAAATAATGGACTTTCTTTTACTATTAATAGACTTCGTTCTGTAGTTTCAAGGGCTTTATCAAAAAAAAATGTTATAGGGTATAATTAGACGGTAAATTATGAATAGACTATGTTTTTTAATAAATTTTATCGCCAAATAAATGTATGCATGGGGGAGGGGGATGCATCAACATTAAAAGGAGTAGCAATTGCTTTTCGAAATATTTCACGCCTCCTGTTTATACTTGTGTAAGACTACTTAATCGAATATACACAGTGGGTGCCAAAATGAATCGACAAGGTTTATTTTCAACTTTTTTTTCCCGTTGGACTCAACGTTAGAAAGAATCCAAGTAGTTATTCGAATACAAGGCAATAAAAACTATTATCAAGTTTTCAAAGATAGAGACTCCAAAAAATCAAAGGACTTGTTCTTCAGCACCTAGAACGGATGAATATAAAATTCTCTACAAGATGAGATATCATCAAGTTCTCTGAGATATTTTTCAGACTAGATACAGCAATCAAACGGAAGCTCCGAAACTCGTTTTTTGTCAGGTTTCCTATAGAAAAATCATTTTTTGACCTTCAATCAAATGTGTGTTTTATTTTGTTGAGAATGGTTGACTCTATTGTTGTATGTAGCCTAATAAAATTATATTTACACACTCTAGATGTAGAAAAAGTAAGGCTTTGCTTTTTTGAAGCCTCTATCTTGGTGACAGCTGTGAAAAAAATTAGAAAAAAACAACCTTGTTAAATAGTTTAGTTCTGGAAAATCCTATTTTATTCTTTTCTTATATCACATTCATTTTTGACAATTGTAATGTTCAGTATACAAAAACTGCCAATCCAATAACCAAACAACATGAAAAACAAAAGAAAACATCTGTTAATTTTCACAAATAATTATTGCAAAGAAAAAAGAACAACACCAATCAATATCTGCACGGAACAAAGAATTTTCACAATTAGAGTTGAAATTGATCATACAAATTTAATTTCAAATTTTTTCGAATGTTTATCAGAAGCTGAAAAATTAAGTTTGAAATTTTCTAGATTCTGAAATTTGTGAAATACTATGAAAAGTTTGTTTCTCTCAAATTCTTGTTCGAAACAATTTTCTTTATTCAAGTCACTATTTGAATTCTTCATGCAATTCACTATTACAGAAAAAAATCGAAATTAAATCTGTATGATAAATTTGGGGAGCTATTTGATATGCTAGTCAAAGAAAATTTGCAGAGTTTTTCGGACTCGAAAAACTTTGACTCTACAAGGACTCTTTTTTGAACTCTCGTTTCTGTCACAGTAAGCGATCTTCAAAGTTTGCCGCTGTATCAAAAGTAATAACATGATCGTAAATCGGATTCCATTCATATAAGACTGAAACGCAATGACTAATCTTCTTTGTTGTCAGTTACCAAAAAAAGGGTATTTACCATTCGACATGCGTAGTTTGTTTTTGTTTTCTTATTAACAAAATTTAAAATGAAAATGTTGGAAAAAAACTGACTTATCTATTATGCTACTAATTGTTACGTCTGTAATTTATTCAAGAAAAGAATAATTGTTACAATTATAGACAACTTTTTCCACGAATACCAAAGCGATAATACAATAGTTAATAAATGAAGCACTATGTATTTTCTGTCAAAAACGAATTCTTTTCGTAGAAATATTCAATTCTTCTATTGAAAAACAAGATTGACGGAAAATTTCTGAGGGATACTCTTCTCCTAAACTCCTATAAAAAAAACTTTTATGCTAAAAATTGACAAATGGTATATCAATCGATGCAGCTTATCATGCTGATTCCAAGAATATCTTTATTTTTCTCTAAAAGTGCTTCTGCGACAAAGAAACCACGAAACATTTTTAAAACCACAGCCTTCAGAATACATGTATTTCAATTTAGAAGCATTTGTGATAACTGAGTGTATGTCTCATATACAGAAGAACATTCTCTGAAAGTTTCGTCGATAGCGAATATTTCAGACCAGAGACCAAAACAGTGAGAATAATTTATTTTTCGTTGCCCTCGAAACCTTACTTTTTTTTCTTCATTGCCTGGACACGTCATTATTAGATGTTTGTATCTCTTGATCATATGATTTATTTAACTACATACATAATGCAAAAAATAGACACAAGAACACAAAAACGATATATGTCGAGATCGATCAAACGAAGAAATAAAATATTATTAACAGTTGTTGGATCTAAACTAGATTTTCTTTCGTTGATAACTTGACCTGCTGCCGAAAACTGTCTTTTGATAGCAGCTGAACTGTATTGTAATGTGTATATGCGACATACTAATTAACGTCTCCTCATGCGTCTCGCCCCACCCCATTTCGACTTCTATTTCAGTCTATATATAATTTATTGTCTAAATATTTTTATTTTTCATAAAAAAATGAAATTTTTCTTTAAACGTACTGAAATTTGACTGTTTTTGTGAGTAAGTTTTTTCAAAATTTTTTTTACTAAAAAACTGGTCGATAATCAAAGTGTATACGTTACTATTCAAATCTCGAAAAAAAGCTCACTTTTATTTTTTTCACCCAATATTTACATTGTAGCCCCGTGTGGAAGATAATTGGCAAAAAAAATTGAATTTTTCTTAAATAGTTTTTGAATAATACTTGCAACAAGAAAAAAAAACTTCTATTAATTTGAAGCTCGTAATGTTCTGTAAATTGATGCAATACTCAAACCTCAAAGATTCTGTTGCTAGAATGTTCACTATTGAAGAAAGACAGACAAAATAGACCTTGCGTCGTGTATGAATGTGAAGTCAATTATTTCAAAAAGACTGTTGTAATTTTAGCATCTATATGTGAGAAAAACATTTTGGTGGCCTGATAAAGCAAAAAAAGCTATCATCATGCTGGTCATGATGATGTGCGAACATCATTATTTTATACTTATCTTATCTTTCGTATATAAAAATCGACAAATAAGCAAAGAACTATACGGATACTTCACATTAAGAATCTTAACCAAACAACAAAATGGAGTTTACAACTATTTTTGTATTACTTGGTGTAATTCTTGTCGGTTTTACATCAGCTCAAGTACCTATACCATCGCATCCAGATGGATATGGAGTTGGTGGACCAGCTGATGCACATGTTGTTGTCGAAATGTTTTTAGATCCACTTTGTCCAGATTGTAAAGCTTCTTGGCCAACTGTTTTACAAGTTATTCAATATTACGGCACAAAAATTCATTTTCGTTTTCATACATTTCCACTTCCTTATCATACAAATTCATTTGTAGCATCACAAGGTGTACATGTTATTGCTAATGCTACAAGTCGAAATTTAGATGCTATTTTTCTATATGTAACTAAAGTATTTGAAAATCAAGAAAAATGGTACAATGATGCAACAAAAACTATGACTATGCCGCAAGTTGTTGATTCACTTGCAACATTTGTTGCTCAACTTGGTTTAGTGACAAAAGATAAATTTTTAGCAGGCATGGCAAATGATGATATAAATGATGAAACACGTATTTCATGGAAATATGCTTGCTCAAGAAGTAATTTAAATTAATCTGAGAAAAGAAAAATTTATTTTTAATTCTTTTTTTTTTTTTTTGATATTTAGATGTTGTTGGTACACCAACCTTTCTTATTAATGGTGTCGCTGTAAGTGCAGATGCATCATGGTCAGTTGATGATTGGAAATCTGTTATTGACCCTATATTAGCATCAAATGGAGTTGCACCATCTAAAGTAAAAGATTGTCCATCAGGTCAAACAGAATGTGATTATGCTCCACATAAAAGTCAATGTTGTTTAGCTGGTGAACGTTGTATTAAAAATGTTGGTTGTCGATGTTTTAATTTAAAACTTGGCAATAAATGTCTTTGAAATAATTGAAAAAAAGAATTATGAAATTTTCTTTTTTTTTTCCAATAAATTGTGCAATATGAACAATTTTTCTTTCTTTGATAAATGAATCAAGTTCTGAAAATATCGGAAGGTAAATACATTATATATAATGCGAATTTATTTGATTAATTGAATAAATTCAATTATTTTGAGAGCAAAAGTAATAGACAGGTATTAGTCATACACAGTGCATTATCCAGATGTCTATTATAATAATCAAGAAAAAGACAACTCTATTTTTTCTTTATTTCATTACGACGGTTGTAAGTCCTATCTAAAATAGACGTATTTTTATGTTGATTTGATTGAAACATGACAAAATCGTACATACATATTCATATCTAAAGTTCAATTTTGATAATAGAGTTGACAAATAATTGTAGATCTTTGGTTCGAAATGCAGAAAAAGACGTTATTATAGCTTCGTGTTCGTCTGGAAAAGACATAACTTTTAAATGCTAAAAATTGTTCGCAGATGATACTATCATAAGTAGAAATAAGTTGCAAACAACTAGGTACACAAAAATGTTCATAGAAATTGAATTTTTAACTTGATCTGTATGATGAACAAAACCCGATTTGAGTGATGAGTTGAAAAATTTTTCTTGACCTTCTTCAAGCTCAATGGCGTCTTGCTACTCTTGTTGAAAATTTTCGAACCTGCCAGTGGATGTTTATAGAATCCACTGATATATATATATATTAATCACCCACACATATATAATCATCCGGAAGTCGTACAACAACTAGAACGAAGACAGTGAAGTGTTCGAAAAGGAAGATCATTTCAGACGTCGTACTAAGTTAAGCAATCTAAGAGGGTTTCGTACATTGTTAAAATAGTTCAATAAGGTTTCTTATGTTTGAACGAAACTTGGAAATGGTTCCAAATTCGTTTCAATGCTTAAAGTATCATATTTCTGCATTTCCCTGTTGCGAAATACCGAACTGGCGCAAAAATAGATGATATTGGGTTTGAGTGTTTGAGTTTCGGTGTTCGGGTGTCAGTGTAGGGTATGATTATTATTTCTTTTCACCCGTACGCCGACACTCACACCTACACCCTTATAGTTTGATATTTTGCTGACGATCAACTTCAATAGACATATCTTCTGAAAACTGAATATCATGTGATTGTCTAAATGTAACTTAACTATATATCTGCCTATCCACGTTAACTTTCCTCATTTCGTGTATTTTATACGTAGGATATCTTAGGTCGGGATTCTCCCCAAACAGGATATGGATGTGAGTCTAGGTGTTAATGTAAATTTGGATGTGGGTTTTCTCTTCTTTCGTGCCCACGCCCCACACGTATAGCCATACCGTTCACGACCGAAGTCTCTGCTGTTTCTCCCTCAATATACAGTGGCCAACAAGTCAATTAATCGAAGAAAAAACTGAATATCTCTGCTATATTTTGACGAAATTGACTGACTTTTCACTAATGATAAACGGGTGTCCAAAGATTGCATCCTTAAGGAAAATATTGAAAAGAATCACTTTGTTATATCACAGATTGATACCGACATAAAAATGCAGTTTTTCCTGATTACTGAAAAAGAATATTTTTGGCTTACGATCTTGCAGTTGATCCATGACTTATGAGCTCATATTTCGTTAAATAGTAGCAGCCCACTTGTTCCTAATAACCTCCAAAGGATTCGCTCTTTTGTTTGATTCTTAAAGCTTGATCGTATAATATTACAATGCATATTATATAATCTTTCCTTTCTCTTTCTCTTTTTTCTTGACTATTATATGGTAAGATATCAAGGATAAACATTATGCTATATTAACACTATATTCCTTTGTTTACAGACAAAAAGAAAAATACAAAAGAAGAATTCTAACAAGTAATTAATCTTTTGTGTATTCTTGAACATCTTGAAAATAAAATTCTCATATTCCAGTATATCATGATGTGCACAACCAGGTTTAATGCATAATTTGGAATTATTAAAACATTATAGTCATGAATGTCAAACAATAAAAGAACGTTTTGATAAATTAAGTAATTGCTTATTTTCGTATATAGAAAATCCTACAAATTCCAATGATTTATTTTTGTAAAGCACTTTCTTTTAAAACGTTGAAAATTTGATGAACAGATTACAAAATTTTCGTCAATTTCATGCATTCTTCTTTATACATCGTCATTCATTTGAAACTGATATAAATACAAAAATTACTATTGGACAATGATTTGATAATAATGATAAAAATAATATAAAATCAATAAATTAATATTTTCAATTATTAGATGAACAAGAAAACCAATATAATGAATGTATTAATCGTTTATCATCATGTTTAAATGAATTTCAGCTTGAACATGTATATTTAATTGATAATTATTTTAAATGTTTACGTTTTTATAGTTAACATAAACAAGTCAATAGAATTGAAAAACAATACGAACAATTTCAAAATGATTTATCGGTAATAATTCTTCATAATCGACAACAAATATTAAATGAGAATGACTTTTTAAAAAAGTTCTTTAAAAGAATGGTTATTAGCAATAGAATGTTTATTAAAACAACAATCAACTGAATTAACAATTGTATCATGTCAACAATTAATTGATTTTTATTCATCAACAACAAACAGATGAATTAATTGAAAATTATTTATTAGTTAAAGAAATAATTTTTCAACATATAGATTTATTATATAAAACTCAACAACAATAAAAGAAAATAAATATAAATTAGCTAAACAAAAAAGCTGAAAATTCAATTGGAATAGCGAAAGATTTAGTTACATTAGAAGAAAATACAATATTTGCATTAGATAATCGATTCAAATTTTGTCCGGATAAATTCAGAATTTGATGCAATCACAATATTTTCCACAAAATATATACCGAATCGATTTCATATCTGTAGAAAATCGTTTTTCTCTTTATTGGACAATTTTTTGTGCAATATTTTGTACTAAAATGATTCTAACTGAAAACGAGATATTTTATTAAAGAAATGATAGAGAATAAATGTATATTGATACATAATAGTTCAGTATTCTTGTCAGAATACGAGAAGAAGATTTACTAGAACTGAGAGAGAAGCTCATAAAGAAAAATAATTCGAAGAAAAACTTTAAAACACGTATAGATATATTGAATATTTAATCATGGTTCATACTTATAAGAGAACTGTTACGAGAAATATTACGCCAATGTAAGGAAACATTGACTCACATATATATAATAGTTATTTATGTATTATTAAAAACAATAATATTAGTTTCTTCAATTGATTCTCAATATTGCTAAATGAAACTTTCGAAGGATATTTGATAGTAAGACATCTATCAAAAACGAAAAAAATCAGACAAAATGATATCGAAGATTCATCGGATACATGAATGTATGTCATAAATTATTTTTGTTGAAAGAATAAATAAACAGTTTTCTTTATAATTCATGAATAACTAATTTTTATATCTAAGTCAGTTTCGATTGTTCTTAACATTTTTTTCCTAACATTTCTCATAAATAGGAACTTTAAATATTTGTTAACATTGGCTACAGAGAGTGTGGGTGCGGATGTGTTTGAAAGAATTAACCGTGCTCATACTCATACCCACCCACACCCACTCCTCGATGCCCACACTCGCTAATGGATGCCACTGAATCCATAAGAACTCATTCGAATCTGGAATCTACTTTTTCTCTTCTTGAATCGAAGTCTTTCCTGAAAACTTTTGACTAATTGTCCTTACAGAGATGTGTGCTTATTTTGAATCGTTATTCGTGACGGACACATATAATAAAAAAATCTGAAATTCATCTATTCAAGTAGACTAACAACGAAAGGTTCTCAAGCATGAGTCTCAGTTTCGAATGGGATATATACCAGTTTGTATAGATAGACGAGCTAATTCTCGTGGTGTGTTCCGTTTTTGCCGATAGACCTTGAAATAAGAAAAATCAATTGATTTTATTAGTGAATTTCTTCACTTTGGATGAATTTTAACACATTTGTTAGGAACTTAGAACTTCAAGGATATTTAAAGTTGAATCGTCATACTAAAACATACACAATGTCACATACGATATATCGTGAAACTTAAAAGAATATTGATCAAAACTTATATCATATACTATTTTCCAAATGGCAGGTATATATATACAAATTCAAAACGAAGCGAAAGAATTCACTCGAAAATGTTAGAAAATGATAGAAATATTTTAACAGGCGAAAAGCACAGAAAAAGAAAGAGAGAGAACCAAGTAGAATATACTAGAATGAACGAGAAAATAAGAATGTGTATCATGAGTGCATAACAATAGAACGTAAAGAAATACCTTTACCTTATTTGTTTCGTACAGTATTACACCATGATGTAATACCAGTAATAAGTCGTGAAGCATATTTGATTGAAGAGCAACTAAGTCTATCGCATGCGACATAGTGTGTTTTAATATAACGATTCAAACTTTAAATACCCTTGAACTCCTAAGTTTCTAACAAATGTCTTAAAATTTATCCAAAGTGAAGAAATTTACTATTAAAATCGATTGGTTTTTCTTATATCAAGGTCTATGGGCAAAAATGAAACATATCACGAGAACCAGCTCGCCGAGCTCTACAAACTGATATATATCCCATTTAAAACTGACGAGAAAGCATTCCTAAGTGTCAAATCGCTTTTTGATCGAGTATATGCTCAAACGATAGACCTCAATGAACTATTAAATATTCTACAAAGGTTTGCTTTTCTAGGTCTTCTGAGCAGAGATATGCGATTATTAATATTACTAGTTTTGCTTTACTACTGTACTCATATATTCTATACCTTCACTGAACCGCTTCTGATCAGGCTCAAATTTATATCAATAGTAAGGCACTCAGCACTGATTAAAATCCCAGAGTTTAACGATAAATTATTGTTTCTTATCGAAGATATGAATCTGTTTCGCTTACCGATTGATTATTAGAAAATAGCATGTAATTTTGCTCAAAGATGCAAGT